ACATTATACCTTTCAGTTGGATGGGATATTAGCATTTTTTCCCCACACAAAAATGCTTTGGAAACTTCCATAATAAGCACTTGCTTTTTCCTCTCATGGAACAACCCTTAACAGCACAATTCCATGATAACACATCAATATTTAACACAGCTTCATTGCATTTCATCATTTGGTGAAAATGAACAAATACTCCATAAGAACATCTAGAATTTATTATGATCTTTCCTAAACAATTTTCTGCATTCTTAATTTTTTTTAGTAATTATCACTTAACACTCTACTGGTACAATTTAACGAAATACAGATGAAATATCTCGCAAGAAAGAGGATGAAAATTTAAAGTAGGACTGCTGTGCAGTGTATTTATCAAGCACAACAATCTCCCATAAATACCTTTATATTTAGATTAAAACTAAGACCTTCATTCCATTCATAGGGCAATGAGCTGGAAGTGGGGTAGTCACAACACAAGAGATGGGAAAGCTTGGTTTAAATTGCATCAACCTGAAGTTGGGCAAATCACTTCCTTTCACTGCCACTCTTACACTCCCAGACCTTGAGGCACATCCAAAAGGCAACATGGAAAAATCCATTGTGCTCCTGATGGGGCCGTGTGCTGCCATCCTGCCTCACACCAGGAGAAATCCTCTGCAAAACCACAGGACTATTTGCAGAACAGGGCACTATTCAGAATGAGAGAACGTGACAGAATTCCCCCAATTATTTACTTTTCATCAACACCTGAGAGCCTACAAGAAACAGAAAGTCCTCTGACAGGCACCCCCTGCATGAATGCACACAAGGAGGGTGCACATGCTCCACCATAAAGAACCAGACCTGTTTTGCCCCCATGGTACCCATAAGGATTCATTCATTCCCTATTCCCCTTCTATCCCCACACAAAATGGAATGTATTGACATCAGGTAAATTCTCTCCCAACCACAGAATCCCAGTGCTGCACCAGTTCAGTCTGCAGCAAAGCCCTTGATTTTTATGCTTGATTGTATGGAGCCAGACCAGCCCCAAGGGGAGGTGGAGGTAGAGGTGAGAGCAGCAGCAGTAATAAGAGGGACAGTTCATGACTCCCAAATACATTTTTAGCAAAGCTGCCATGAGCAATGGCTACACAGAGCAGCTGCTGCCAGAGGAAGCCATGAGTCAAACCTAGTTTGTGACTAGAGATCTAAATCAGAATGGCCCCAGGAAATAATTCTTGAATTTCTATCCAAATTACAGACCTGAAAGGTTTCCTCAGCCATAGTTGCATCTACAAACCAAGCTATGTCCTCTGAAGTGTTATAAGGGAAAAAAATAAGCCAACAAACAGAAACTCTCAATGGTTGGCTCAGAACATTCCCAACCTAGAAGTGCATTACATGTCAGTGCTCATGAAGTAAAAGTTCAAACACTCCTCTTGACATGACAGGATCACCACCTTTTCTTTTGTCAAAGGGGGACAAGATTAAGGCCCAGTTTTGTAATACTGCAGGTCCTCTAGCTCAAACCTGACACCTTTGAGAGCTACCCCAAAGTAAGGCTTTGGTGACATTGGGGTGACATGGAGCATGATTGCAGAGCAATTTCCTTCCCTGAACCACTCAGAGATGATTCCAACCTCATTTGTGTGACTTGGTGACATCTTCCAACAGCAAAGGGGAATTCAGTCACAGGCATCTAACCTCAATAACCTCAAGAGAAAGATGTATGGGACATGCCCTTCACACAACACAGAACTGAAATTTGAGCTTTGAAGCAGCTAACAAGGACCCTGAAGATGAGAATTTCTCCTGGGAGAGCATGGACACAGCAAGATCAAGAGAATACAAGAAGTTCAAGTGAGGAACTGCACTATAAAGAGTTTCACTTCACTGGGCACCCAGGAAGAACTGAAACAACAAAAGGAGTTCTCCCTTTCACAGTGTGAAAATCAGGCAGGGTGTGTACCTGACTTCAGTGACTGTGAGGACAAAACAACTCATCTGGTACAGTGACAACATTGAGAGTAATCCTATGGAAGGGGAATGTTTAATAAGATAAAGTCATTGATTCACCTTTGTGGCTAAAGATATTTGAGTTTCACACAAGAAGTCTTTGCCTGATTTTTTGTAACCACTTTCTGATGGTCAAAAGCCATCATGCAACAAAGCACAGGATCTGAAAAAATGTAAAGGTAACCCAGATCTCTTCCAAGCTCTGAATCAGATCAGAGGAAAAAGGAGGTATCTGTCTTTTGAACAACAGCACCAAGCCACTGACCTTGCACATCATCCCATGTCCAACCTGCACACTTGTCCTGCCTGGTTTTGATCAGTTGCTTCATTCCTTATTTCTACCACTACTACCTTTTATAAAAAAAACATGACATAGGCAGCCATCAAGTACACCCTTCAGAGAGCCAAACAAACCTGACATATGTACAATTTGCCTGCCAAATGAATTTTATCCAGCATAAAACCAGTGTAAGGCATGACACAGTATCAGTTCTGCACCGCTTACAGGCCAGGGGCTTGCACTTGTCAAGGAAAACCCAAGAAGTGATTTATTACTGTGTGACCCTGATCATCTGCTGGTGTAATTCCCCTTGAATCAATCGAGCAAAATGAGCATGAAAACAGAGCAGAGAGGGCAGGCACCAGCCCCCACGTGTTTAAAGATCACCAGCCATGCCCATTGCCCACGAGTCCAGCAAACACTTCTGTGCATCACAGGGGGTTTCCTTTGGAAACAGAAGTTGTTTTAGAGATATTTGAAAAAAATTATTCCCTATGAGGGTGCTGAGACCCTGGCACAGGTTGCCCAGAGAAGCTGGGGCTGCCCCATCCCTGGAAGTGTCCAAGGCCAGGTTGGCCAGGGCTGGGTACAGGCTGGTCAAGTTATCCCTGCCCATGGCAGAGGGAGAATGGGATGAGCTCTAAGGTCCCTTCCAATCCCATTCTGATTTGCCTGACCACTTTCTGCTGGAGTCCATCTTTTACACATTTACAGTTATGACACCCCTGTGTATAATTTCCATCTTCCAGGTGCCAAAGTAAAACTAAAAGAGCAAAGGTGCTTATCTACCATAGCCATGGTGAAATCACTGGAAATTTTACAGGTATTTGGACACCTGAATGATTTAATTTAAGACTCAGTGGACAAGAATGTGGGTCTCCCAACTCCTACACATGGACCCAGCCCCAGGAGTGGCTCATCCAAATGACTCTTTGGACCTGGGGCACAGCAGCTGATGGCAGAACGAGCAGCGAGCACGAGAGCTCAGCCAACAAAATTTCTGGAAATACCAAGTCATTCATTAATTGATATCATAAAAGGCTTTGCCTAATCTGCAGCTCTCTGTGATATTTACACAACAACCACCCTCCCCTCCTGCAGATCTCAGCAGGATCAGTGCTTTTACAGGATGAAATGAGAGGCTGTGTATGACAAAATGCCTGAGGGCGGGAACAGTTTCCTTTTCAACACCATTTTCTCATAAATGAGAAATCTACAGGAACCAGACAAGGATTCCTAATTGATATAAGCTTCTATTTATGTTGCAAGAACAAAACTAGCATGACTGACAACTGTTTTCTGTTAAAGGCCAATAATTATCAGCAACAGCAGGTAAATACACTCAGTTGCTTTTTGCTGTTCCCATGTTCTTATCACTAGGTCAATATTAAAGTAATTTTCCTGTCATTCACCCATTACTTATATGAGCCATACTTACTAGAAAAGTTTACAAACACAAAAACCCCAATAGTTACTGCTCAAATTCTTTACAAGAAACATTGCAAGCCCTCTTCCATGGTACTTAAAATGTCTAACATATATTCCAATCAACTTATATGCCCATGTAATTGAAAAAAAAATGGTAAAAACATTAGAGCCACCCTAGAGGGATGCTTTTTTATCTTTTTTTCTCCTTTTTGCAGAGACCCATGCTGTATACAAGGTCACAGAGAGGCTGAGAAAACATTCTCATCACAGTTATATGTAAAACATCCTTCCATGCTGACCCTGAAAGATTACACAGCATTCTGCATATTAAAGGCATGTCTATATATTCTTTTCCTCTGTTGACAGAATTATCATTCTCATGCTATACTTAGGAAAAGGTGGTGATTTCCAGGGCTCTGGTCCCACACAGAACCTCAACACATGCTTAGTGTTTAGTGGGACTATTTATAAATGTTTAAGTTCTGCAGGAGTATTTTTGCACTTTCCAAAATAGTCCAACAGTCTGGAAACGAAATATAATGCCTGATGCTCCCTTTGCACTTTGCTTAGTCATTTTATATTTGTTCTGTGAGTATTTGTAGTGCTTAGATTCCTTCTTCTATGCTCACACATCCAGGAGATAAAAGGGTTCAAGACAAGGAAGGAAATCATATCTCAACTATCCATTTTTCAGAACTGGTGATGTGCAAATTAGTGAGCTTTGAATATTCACTGTAGTAGGCACATAGGTCCCTAAAGTACCAGCTGAAATAGAGCACTAACATAAAGCTATTAATTCTACCAGTCTTGAAGGACAACAGGTTGAAAACCACATTCTCCACCCTCACAAAACAAGATAAACCCCCTATTTCTTATTAGAGTAACTTTTTTACAGAGTCCTGGTGACCAGATGTGGCTGAGAAGCAGAAAAACGTGAATCAAAATCCAGATAATTCTCTCAACTGCAGCTCTTCTATTTATTTCAGGCTTTACACAGTGCTGCTGGACTCTTCCCTAAGCAAGCTTTTGGCTACCAGAGCCTTAAGCACAGATGGGTCTCTGACCTTATTTAGCAGGGATCCTCCTGCAGGCATTGCTGTCTGATTTTATAACATTTAATTCAAACGGTTCAGCGACTTGGCCAGGGCACATAACCCACTTCTTTAAAGCTTGGCTCATTAGCACAGCTCATCTTTATTAACTACAAATAAATCTCACTTAACACTGAACTCCACTACCACTAATTAGCTGTCTTAAATAGCAATTCATTGTGAATAATAAATAAAAAAGGATCAATTACCGATTTCCTCTCCTGTTTCAGCTCCTGCACGTAGCGTGTTAACTCTGCAGTGATCAGAGAGGTCATGTTCTCTGAAATGACCTCGTGCTGTCCAGCATAGTCATTCATTTCATTTAAAGTGGCTAGGAAGGCTCTAGTTGATGTGTACCTGCAAAAGGACAGAAATGCATTTTGGTTTTAGTCCCTTCTTTTTTCTTAAGGATCCTCCTTAAGCATTTAGCATTGCTATCAATTAGCACAGATTCACTGGAAGGAATTCCTCCAAAGGAAGCCTGTCCCACACACTGACAGTTGTCTGATAAATCTATCTCAATTTAGACAGTTTGACACTGTCTCTTAAAATATCACCACTTTAAAGTGCCAGGTTCTTTATCAGCATAGCTCTGGGGCTTCAGTTTTCTAATCTCTATTCACCAAACATTTCTAGTTATACTCTCTTAACTCCTACAATTCAGTGCACAGTCATCAGTATATCCTACCTGGCAAAATCCTGTCTAAGCAAGCAAAATTTTGGCCAGCATAGCCTAGAAAAGAAAGTTTTTCATAGTGTAAATTTGATTTAAATCAGATATAGTTTATAAAGTTCTCAAATAAGAAGAGTTTACCAACCAAACGTTCATTGTCAACCCGTATTTTTTAGTGGTTTCCATCAAAAGGTTTCTTTTTCATATGAAATAATCTCCCATACAGCATTCTATGTATTATTGAAAGGAAGAAACATCTGTGCACACCAATTTTGAAACAGCAGATTATGTCACTGGTACATTCAGCCCAGTGCCAACAGAGCTGGCTGTGCTGGGCAGCTGGAAACCAGCAGCAAGGCACTACTACATACTAGAAAAATTACTGCTGTTGTTGTTACTATTATTATTATTATTCCAAATTGTATAATTTTATTACTATTCTAAAATAGTAGTGGTCTGCCCTGATAACATCATGTAAAAGTGAAAATTCAAAGCAAAGATGGAGATATTTAGAGGAAATAGAATGGAGTAGTGCAAGTAGGTACATGCATCAGATGAAAATAAAAACAGGGGAAACTAAAAAAGGGGACTAAAAATATAATCCATTAAAAGCAGAAACATCCACAGTCAAGATGAGAAATTGTAAGAAATCCCAGTTGCAAAAAAATCCCAAGGTATAAAAGGCACAGAACTGGAGACTGACAATGAGCTCAAAAAAGCTGATTTTTAGCCAGGTTGTCTCCAAGCAGCATCTGAGGCACCCAAAGGTCACATGACAAATGCCCAGACGTTGTTTTGAGACATGGAGTAACTCCTCTGAGGTGAACACTGCATTTATAAAGGGCAAAGGATACACAGGATCCTCTGTGCCACATCACATAGAATCATTTAACTCCAATATCCTTTTTCAGCAATGAAAAATGAGTCAAAACCCATTGTAGTAAACTCAAAATACCATTTATGGTAGAGCTATCCAAAGGCAGATTTATTCCTAATCCTGGGTACAGACCAAAACAGCCACTGTGCTGGTAACATAATCTTCCTTGTGTAAATACCAATATCTCAGGAAACAAAGGCATAAATAACTGATTCCCAAACAATGTTACTAAAAATAAATTAAAAAGTAAGCAAAAAGGCTGTTATCTCTGTTATACAAGCCACTGGAGTAGCTGTATAGAGCAGCTTGGGGGGCTGACCCAAAAATCTGCATTAATATAATCATCCAATTGGACCCATATCCAAACTCATTTGAAACATGCCAAATTTCAAGGTCAAGGGTTTGAGGCTGCTGCTGGGCTCTCCAGAGGCAGAGCAGCCTGGTGGAGCAGCAGGCTGAGGGTCAGCCCTGCCATGCCTTCCTTCAGAGCTGCATTACAAAACACTGACATTGAGAAACTCCAGGGCCATGGTGCTCTGAGGGGAAAGGTTCTGGCTCTGGTTTGGAGTCTGTTGGGAAGCTCATCTTCTAGAAAGTTCTCCTTAAAGAATATCTTTATACTCCCCAGGGGAAGGAATGTCCTGTTCATCACGTTGTTGAGGACCTGAGCATTCTGCTGCTGCCTGCAAGCACAACATCAGTCCCCTGCCAGGGGACACAGCTGGAATCAAAAGCAGGCAGGTGAGGCTGTGCCACATCCTTCAACAGCAGCCAGCCCCAGGATCCTGGGAGTACAAACCTCATCCTCCACCCTGCTCTGCAGGAGCCACTGTGGTGTTAGAACTTTACCCCTTTTGTAAGTCACTAATCTGTGTTGTCAGCCTGTTTGAGTAATTTAATACTTACACAGAGTGCTTGAGTTTCATGCTAAAATTAACAACTGCTTCTGCTCCTGCTGAAAGCAGATATGAATTTGGTCGTTCACTTCAAAGAGCCAGGATCAGTCTGGCTTGAAGGTTTTAAGGCACATTAAAAAATAAATGAAACAAAACTCCCAACCCAGGCATCCAGAAACTGCAACATAAGGGAACTGAGTAGTTACAGATCCACTTTTACAAATCCACACTTTAACAAGTGCAAAAGTTACACAGTTAACTAAAAGATCCACAATTACAAATCCACTTCTTAGTATCTACCATGTAAGTCTGTTTCTGCATCTGTGACATCTATATCTTACACTTGAATTTAAAATCTTGGGTTTACATGAGAAATCCTAGGTGGTGACCCAGACTTTGCCATTCCTCCATCAATGTGTGCTCACCCAGCAGGGGATCATGAACATACCTGTATTCTTCCTCCTCTTTGGAGTTCTTCTTGGGTTGGTATTTCTTGGAAAGATTCCTAGAATTAAAAATACAGATATATAAAAATAAAATTTTAAAATATCCTTTGAAGTTTACTGATGATGTTTAGATGCACATACATTCTGTGAGGCTGCAGTTTTTATCTGCAGTGAGCACACACCTTTCCTGAAGCATGGCTATCATCAGGCTTTGATTGTGCTGTAATAACACTGGGCTGCACAGTGCTCCAGTCTGTAACTACAACCAAACAGCAGATTCTGAACCCAAGAAATTGCTAAATTAAGGTCATGAAGTCAATGCACCTGGGCTGTGGTTGTGCTGATGCACAGATCTCCTTCAGCTGATCTAGAGAGGTTCTTTCACAGTAGGAGTCATCCCAGCAAAGGGAGATCTGAAGCAGCAGATGACACTCGTGGCCAGGCAGGTTTGCCTGCCTTTAACAGCATGATTAAAGACAAAAAAAAACCCTTCATAAAGCTGTGGGAAGCTGCACTGAGATAGCAAAAGGGGGATGATTTTGTGATTATCAACTAATGCTGGGGGAAGTGTGACATTTGATTATCCTAATTAGCACAGATGATTGCATCTCATTATCCCCCAGCCAACTACTGATTTAATTTTAAAACACCAATATGCTCTTGGAATGATTGTATCTTAAATAAGAAACCTGAACCTTGCTGTGAGCACATCTGACAGTAATTGTATGGTTTTCATTGTCCCACAAGCCTCTCACCAGCAGCAAATCCAGGGATTTGTGAAGGTGTGCTGCCCACCTGCCCTCAGTGCACCTGGCTGGTATCAGCATCACAATGCACCTTGCACTGCAGGACAGGACCCTTCAGTCACTGCACACCAGAGCTGACCAATCTCACTGAGCAATTTTAAAGCCTTTTCTGTGCTCCTCTGTCCCAAACTGAGCCCTGTTCCCTCTGGCAGCCTCTCACCCTGTTGTGAAAGGGAAGCCAGTTGGTTTAGTTTTACAAGGTTGTTTCAGAGATGAAGAACAGCACACAAGGAGCATTGATGGAATCACTGTCCAAAGGAGGACTGAGTTTTATCAGCTTATCCATGCCAAACTCTTTGGACATGTCCCAGAACACATCCAGTTGTAAAGAAACTGCTTTTTCAGAGGTGTAACCCATTCCCTGCTGATGCTGGTTTTACTGCTGGCTTGGAGACAGCAGGGCCTCCCATCTCACATTTCTTATTCCCTTTGTTCTCCTTGAGGAATTAAGGAGCATCTGCCCCAACAGAGGAGTAGCCAGAACGCTGGCAGATTTGCACAGACAAACATGTGTTCCTCAAAATTTAACTATCTTGACTGGAAGGGATCCAAATGAGTATTTCCCTCTCAGTCTGTGCCTTCTCTCCAAGAATATGCTCTGAAAAAAAATGAACTTCTCTAGTTCTGCAGCTTCCACCAAATACCAGCATGGGAAGGGTTCTGCAAACTGTTCTGCATGATGAAAATAAATCTTACAGCACCCCTTGTATGCCATGGGAGTGCCTCCTTCCTTCCACCTTGAAGGGGAAAGGAAAAAGTACAAGAAAACAAGCACAGAAGGCAAAAGTAATAAGGCATTTTCACACAGTCAAAACTCCATCTCCCAGCACTGTCACACTGCCCAATTAATTCTGACAAATACAACTGGCTTCCTGTGAATCTTTGAAGGTGCAGAAATGCTACAGAGCTGAAGCAAAAAAAAAAAAAAACAAACAAAAAAAACCCAACAAATCCACAGTCTGCTTTTACAGACAAAAACCACTTACCAAGGATTAGCATCTGGGTTAAACACTTCATTATCTCCTATGCAATTTACACAACATACAAATTGATTCTATATATTTAAGTTCTCTAATTTTTTTTCCCCCTTTTCTAAAATCAGATGCAGGAGTTTAACCAGGTACACACAAAAACCCCCACAAGTGAAAGTGAATGCCGAAGTGTTGCTGGAGCTCAGCCTGTCCTGGTGCAGTGTCACCACCAGCACTGCCCAGGAAGCAGTGACAGTGACACCTTCAGTGCCGGCAGTGATTGGAGGGAGAGAACACAAAATAGAGACCAGCAGTGAAACACCAGCTCTGGAGAGATGCTGTGCTACCCTGAGCACCCATCTCCACGAGTGTTTTTATTTGCCTTTCACTCTGCATCATTTTTGCTGCCTTTCCAACTCCTGTATTTCAACTTGGGTGACAAATGCGAGAGAAAGATGTCAGACATCAGGGGTTCTGATTCTCAGATGATCCTGACACCTGAAGTTTTTTCTCAACACATTTTCCTCAAGGCTATCTATCCATCATCACATTAGGCAAGGGTTTTGACACCTTTTGTGATGCTCTGAGTGCAAGGGAAGTGACAAGGACACATCACCTCAGCACAGAGAGCACAGCATCCAGCACATCAGTGCCCCATGGAAGGTAAAATACTTAAAATAAGCATTCTACCATAGTTTTTACATCCCTTCCCTCCCAGCTTAGCTTAATGATTCAATAAATATAATACAAAACAATGAAGAAAATAACCATGTCAGATTTGGACTCCCAAATCAGGCTAATTGTAAATGGTATGTAGGTCTAACTTAAAATATTAAACATACATTTGCAGAATTATAAATAAAGAGGAAGAAGAGAAATGTTTTTAAATAGAAAAAAATTAAACTCCAATAGATGACCAGGCTGAGATGTAGGCAGTCAGAGAGGAGCAATAGCTAGTTAGGGAACCCAGGGATGGAACAGAAAATACAAGTTTAAGAGAAGGAAATAAATTTCAGCAGCTTTACTTACACTACAAACAAAATTGAGTTACATCCACAGGAGTACCTGGAGTTAACCTGTCTCTTTTTAATAGTATTTTCTGCATGTTATGACACGCAGTGATGTGATGCAGCCCTTTTACACCAAATGGATGTGGTACAAAAAAGGTTTGCACCATGCTTAAGGACACTTATTAAATAAAGGCAGATGCATGATTTATTTTTCTTTTTTAATGTCCAGCACTGTTTTACCTCAACACTTGACAAGTCTTCATTTTGTGGTTTTTTTCTTTTATACTTCTAACTTCTTGGTTGCCTGTAAGCAGGCCTGTGTTTAAGGGCTCCTTGGGGACAGATATATTTGTCCTCAAACCATAAAAACACAGAAAGGCAAGAAACAAATTGACCATGTTTTTTGGGAAGTCCAGGACAGAACAGGAAATAAAGCTCAGGAATTCATAGTTTCTACATGTCACAGGTAAAACAATCTTTCACTTTCGTTTACATGTTGTTTGTGTGTTTATTTTAATAATTAAGCTCTTTACACCTGGAATTTGTCATCCTGAATACTCCAGTGAGTCTAGTGCAGGATTGTTCCTAACACAGGCCAGCTCACCCAGATCTTCTGCTGGGCTTTCCCAGTCTTAGTCACATTCTCTTTGTTCCAGCTCATTTTTCCTCTGTAATTCAATCTCTGCTCCTCTCCATAGGATGTGAGCAATTTGTTCCTGCAGGAGTCATTTTCTATTTCCTGCTTGTCTGAAGCTGAAACCCTGGGGAACCCTCCTGGCATTCCCCTGGGAGAGCACACAACCATCAGGGCAGGGATTTATCTACAACCAGCTCCTCATAAATCACAGGCCATTGTGCATCTCAAACCCACTCAAACACAAGCAAATTGTGGATTTTTTTTTTAACATACACTGTGTTAGATATACAGATCAACTGAAACCTCAAATCCCATCTCTTTAAAAACAGAGAAGATGCAAAGAGTTCAAGATTTATTATCACCATGCAAATAAAAGGTGAGTTAATGGAGGGGTTGGGAATAAATATTCCTGCTCTCCCCCTCCCAGTTAACTCCAGCACTTCCAGTTTAGCCCTGGTCACTAGTGACTGCCAACAATGTTGTCCCACAGGCAGCAGCAGGAGCCCTGTGTGCTTCACTCCCTTCTAACCCCTGATCACTTCTCATTTTTTTTTCTACCTTACTGGGAAAAGCAAGGTGATATCTACTCCTATGTGAGGGTTCTTAGCACCTCTTCCCCAGGACCTGACCTCAAGGAAGATTTTTTTTTTTTCCTGTGTCTGTTCACACATACTCATCTCTGTCTACAATCAAACCAGACATGGACATGTAGAAAGCACCCAGCAGGAATTATTTGAGATTAATTCACAAAGATCTCTGCTCTGATCAGGAAACACCTCCAAAGATTATAAAACTGTAATTCAAATTTCAGGCTGTAACCTTCTTAAGTACCTAGGAAAAATTACCCAGGGCTGGGGCTGACTTTGTGACCTGCAGTTCCTCCCCATGCACGTTCAAAAAGGGCCTGTCTTAGCAAAAGAAAACCTAAACTTGGCCTAACAAATGATCATTATTCTGTGAATTCTTAAACCCTTCAGCATTTCTGCACAGCAGCCCCAATTTCATGGAAAACATTACAGTGCTGTCCTCAAAGCCTGAGCCATTAATCATGCATAAACCATGAGTAAGCCCTAGAGTGCTGCTCAGCCATCTCAACAATCTCTCTTTTTGCAAAATACATGATTACTAGCAGATATAATACAACAGGGTCTTAAAATTAACTTTTACTTTTCAATCTCTAAATGAAAGCTGTTTTCTAAAAGCCATTATTATAAACAAAATCACCACTGACACAGCAAACTTAAAGTTGATTACAAGCTCTGAAGAGATGCAACTCAAACTCCAAAATTTTGCATATTGACTTACCTAAGCTGCTTTGCATAGCTGAGTTCAATCTCTGTTCTTTCTTTTACAAACTTGATGTATTTTTCCAGAACATCAATACCCCACTGAGTATGTTTTTCTAAGTTGTCAAACTGGTCCTGCAATGAAAAAAAAAAAAAAAATTTAGTCTCATTGAACACAGAGACAACTAAAATTAATTAATTTACAAAGGGAGTATTGCCGTGTTGTTAATATTTTCCATTTCCAGTTAGATACTTTCATAGCGAGACAGGTTTTTAATCAACAGAAATCTTTATTTTAACATGAGCCCAACTCAGTAACATTCTTCATTACTCATTTCTGAATCAGTTTCATTCCAGAAATACTGGCAATCCTATTAAATACCATTTTCTAATACAAAAACATACTTAAATGTAGGATAAGAAATAGCTACTCTTGACAGGATTTTGTTTTACTCTGAAGAACTAATAGAAGTTCCATGAACTCGAGATCTGCTCCTAATTAATAATTCTGATTTTCATATGAAAATTGTAGATTTAAACTCCGGCTTTGTCAGTGCTATGAATTTAAAATGTTATTCAGAACAGTTAATCTTTCACAGAGCAGACTTCAATTGCTCTGTAGCCTGTTTTGTTCTAAAATAGATGACATGATGCCCCCCAAAATGACATAAGCTGTGTCTTCTTGTCCACCTCCATTTATACACAGATACTACTCTGTTCTTCAAATATTGTTGCCCTCAGAAACAGTCACACATGTTTTCAATAAAATCCAGAACATTCCACAAGTCAGTTTGGGATTTGCAAACGCCAAGAGAAATTAAGCAACTTTCAATCCAAATTAATTATCCAAGCCAGTTTATTATTATCTGCAGATTTCAATTATAATCACCTTATTTTTCAAAATGTGGTTACTTCAACAGCACTCAAATTCCACAAGCCATTCTACACATCTTTGCAGAAGTTACTGTTTCTACAATACTTGAAATAAAGTTTTTAAACTGTAATACACTGAATACATATTCTGACAGACATACAGTATCAAATAAACAAGGGCTTTAATATCAGCCTAACTTATGTGGCATCAGGTTTAAAAGGAAAATAGAGAGTAAATTTGTACAATCTACAAATTAGATGGACCATGTTTTCAAATAAACGATACAAAGCACTAGATTTGGGTGGGATGCTGAGGTGCTACCACCAAAGATTCTGACACGAGTGATGCTCCTCTGCAAAAGATTTGGCCCCTGTGACTCAGTTTGCAGAGCTTTCACCGAGTTACAAAAGCCAGACAGGCCCACTCCCTTTAGACACCGAGCAGAAAAATAATTGAAAGCTACAACAAAGCCCGGTTTGTGAATATGTTGCTTTTATCAAATACCACTTTCTGCTCTGTAGCAGATCTGGCTGTGACACTGAGTTGCACTGGTGGCAGGAGGGACTCTGCCAGCATTGAATACATGTACACAGGAGCTAATAAAGAAAATTAACCTGCTAATAAAACTGCTTAACTGTAATTTGAAGGGGAGAAATAGGAACCATGTTAAGAAGACAAAATTTGTAAAACACATCAAGGAGAGAGTTAAAGCAGCAGGCAAGACACGTGGAATGGGACACACAGGGTTTGTGCATTGGGTGTTTGCTCTGCTTTAGCATCAGGGACTATTTCAAACCAAGTCAGCCAAACCAGACTAGGTTTCAACTTCAGTTATGTCAGTTCTAGTCAATTAAAGAGGCACTGGGGGCAGAACAGCAAAAAAAGTAATAGTATAAAGTCACAAAAATAGTAAAGAACTACTAAGTGCTCCAGGACTAAGTGCTCCAGAAACTACAAGAAAGTGTTTTAAGGGCAACTGAAGTAAAAAAATTCAAACTACACAGAATAAAAGCCTTATTTCCAGCAATATAGACCACCTTGAACCAGTGTAGCATCAGTCACTCAGAAAGAGGATGTGTGCATTCTGCAGAAAGGGAATACCCAGACTAAAAACGTACGTGTTTGCGTATATACAAATCGCAGTTTCAGACAGTTGCACGGCTGGGGAGAAGGCAAAGTCAGGGGTCACAATAACAATGCTCCTCCTCCTGCCAGAGGGCTCAGCTCAGCCTGGAGCCAGCACAGAGAAGCAGCTTCTGCTCTGCTTCGCTGGGATTATGCTGGAGTCAGGAGAGTCATGCAAACATGGCCTTTTTAAGGTTTCTGATAAAGAGGTCTTCTAGCTCTCCCACACCCTAGTCTTCCACAATTTACATTGTTTAGCATAAACACATGCATATAAAATAAATACCCCATGGGGAAGTCCATTAGTCACAGGTTTACATGGATTCACACACTCCTGATTTAGAGAAGGGAAATCTCAGGCAGGGAAATTCACTCTGTAATCCCTGTAAGCAAATTTAACCACTTTTATCAGATAGATCATATTACTACCAAGAAATTAGCTGATTATCCTATTGTGACCCCATCCAAAGAGGAAAGGTCAAGGTTTCCCAGAGGAAAGAATGCCTTTCAAGGAGATCCTGCCCTTCAAGGTAATTCAGATTTCAAGATAGAGCAGGTTCACCCTGAAAAGGCAACCCTGATGGTGGCTTGTCCAAACCTCCCACCATCATCCCACCCTGAATCGATTCTCAGAGCATCATTTAGATCAGAGTTTGAATAAAACCCAGAAATGGCTCCAGGTAGCTGCCTCAGTGTGGGCTGGCATCCCACAGAGGGTCCTGCTGGGCTGTTTCTAAACCTCACTAGGCCAGGTTTGGTGAAATCAAACTCCCAGAGGAGCAGTGTAAGAGGAGCACACGGGGGTGCAGCTGTCAGACAGATCAGCCAGGGGAAGATGCTGAATTTCTATTTATAAAGTGAGATGAGGCACTTGCCCTGTGCCAAGCTCTAGGCAGAGGCAGCTCAGAAGCACAAGCACTGACCTCCACCTTGGAGAAGAGAGGCAAGGGGAAGTTGAACTCTCTGCAGATTTGCTAAAGAGAGAGTTTCTGTTCTTTTCTGGGCATGGAACGGTGCTGGCCCAAGGGCCATTTCACTGAGCAGCCAACGCCCCACAGCACTGGGGTCACACATTCCATTGTCCCTTCCCTTTAGCAAAGTGCCTTGAGGATGAAAAAAAGTCAGTAAAATTGGCAACACCATCACTGGCTGAGCATGAGGTTCCAAAGGAAGGGCAGTGCAGCCAGGGGGACACAACACAGATTGTCCTCATTCCATGCATCTGGAAGGACACTGAAGGTAGGCAAAGGCTCTGAGTTAAAGAGAATGAATGGTAGGGAAGACAGAGGGCACGAAGTGTGCTGATCACACAGCATAACCTTCAATTCATGGAGTCCCAAAGTCCAGGGATACATGTAATCAATACAAAATAGGACTTCTGAAAAAGAGATTTTTGAGAACAGTTCACAATAATATCATGCCTTCAAATAGTTAATATTTAAAACACTTTTTAGAAATTGATATACTTTTCTGAAAGTCCATTACAAAAATGCATTATCAGTAGGAATCTAGAGTTTAAAAACCTCCTCAGTTATTCTGGAGTCTAATGAGAACAACACCTGTTTTCAGCACCAAGTGCACCAGCTCTGGCAGAGATGGTTTGTGCCACTGCAGCTCTGCAGGTTCAGCCATCAGCTGCAAGAGGCTCAGGTGCCCCATGAGCTGCTGTTTCAGATTTCAGTTTCAATACACAGACTCTCCTCTGTTCATTTTTGCAGCATCCTCACCCTTCCAGCCAGGGAGAACATTAGGAAACAATAAACTCCACAGGGCTTTAGCATTCAAGAAAACAAGGCAAGAAATATGATGCAATGTTCAGCAAGAATGCTCCCACTTGACCACAGTGGGGGAGAAACAAAAGGTCACACAGCACCTGTTTTCTCTGAAAAAGAAACACCAAAACATTTTCTAGAAGAATTTGTTACTTTCATCTGGCTCAGAGACTGGTTCACACCTAAGAACATTCTTTGAGCAGAAATACTGCACTGACAGACAGTTGTCTATCACAGTAGGCTCTCACCACAGCCTTCATGTTACCATGTCCTTCCAGCCTGCCAAATCTCATCTTCTCCCAGTTTCAAGTGCCTATGTTTATTGTAGTATCAGCTTACTAAAAAGAATAGACTTCTAATTGACTGTCCATGTAATTAAACTGCTTTTGTAACTGGAACTTATCCCCCTTCATCAGATTCCACCACTTCCCAAAGCCAGCACCACGTGCCACTACAAACACTTGCCCAGGTGATGGAGGAGCTGACCCACCTGACTCACAGGTGGGAAAGAAGAGCCCCGGCTGCTTAAAACAAACTGCTCAGAGCTTTACATGCTCTTGAGCATGCACACAAAAAATTGAAGCTCAAAAGAGGGAAGTAGAACTTCACTCATTAACTTAAACAGGAATTTGACATCCAAGTCCCCAGAATGCTTTGAATATTTTAACCCTAAGGCAAAGTGTGTTTCTAAATTCATTTTCTAACTTCATTTCTGTTTCCATTAATTCTCTCCTGGTGCTTTTACTGCTGCCCAAACAACCTTCCATCCATGCATTCTTTCTGAAATTCGGTTGCATGCTTGTTACCCTGACAATGCTTAAAATGGAAATAGTGCTGCCCATTTGCTTTGCTTCATTTGAACAGTTTTACTTTAAGCTGTCAAATCCCCTTCACTTCTCAACTGCCCTCCTGAAGTCACATTCCCCAGCTATGCAAAGTATTTTGGGAAGAGGAAAGTTAGCCATTAGGGAAAAAAAAAACAAAACAAAACACCAAAAGAAAAACCTTCTTCCCATTTCTCAGCCATATAACATGGAGTACAACCAATTATTGAGCAATAAAGTGTTATTCATGAGGTCTTTGAAGATCAGCTCAGTGACATATTCCTTCCTCTTTCTAGAAGGCTTCCATCTATTGCAAAATTGCTCAACACCGGGTGTTGAGATCTGATGATGGATCTTCACTTGCCACCAAGACACTTCTTCAGCCTCAGCATGGACTGAAATAAAGGCAATGTCCTCACTTTTCTCTTGAGCTGCAGCCTCAGTGTCTCTGCAGCCAGACTCGCCCTGCCCAGTTCCAGCACACAGCCAGGCCAGAAGGACTGGGGTTTATACTTGGTTTCAACCGTGAACAAAACATCAGATTCTAATTCACAGATTAATTCTGCAATTTAAATCTTCCTGCCAAACCTGTCCAGAGCAGACTGAGCTGGCAGCATTTACTGTACCAGGCTAAACTGTCACTGTCACCCTTTCTGCTGCTTTCACAGGTGACAGTGCAGAAGTGTGAAATTAAGAATGCTAACACAGAGACAAATATTGAAGAAAGACAATGCTGAAAATTCAGATGCTAATAGCAAATGAAAAGCCTTTATATTTAGCATATGCCTCCTGTAATTGTAATGCAGCAATACAATAAAAGACCCAGGACTCTTGAATGTTAAGGATATTTGAAGACTTTTCTACTATCTCATTCCCCAGTGAGTTTGATTCTGTTTCCTCACAAGATTATTTGTTTACATACCGTCATTAATAACAAAAATAGTAATTGGGGAATTAATAGCCAATTTTTACCTCTGATCACACCTTCTCCTCCCATATCCATTTATTTTTTAAACACTCTCATTGGCTTTCATAGGCAAAAAGGAATTAAAGTGAAGATCAGGAATACATTACAGTGTTCAATTTCTAAATTACTTTTTTAGATTCCATGGTTTAACAACTTCAAATTATAAAAATAATTAACGAGATGATGAGCCCTTCACAGGCTCAGCTGAGTCCCATATGGCACTACAGTGCTGGCAGAATACACGGGAATTCAGATCACAGATCCTCAGAGACCTACAATAAAGCTATATGCAAATGTTAACAGTCTCCAGGCAAATTAATAATGAAAGAAAATGCATAAAATACAGGCTACCACTGCAAGAGCCTTCCAGAAAACAGAGATGAGTAGAAAATACCAAAGTAATTCAGCATCTGTTGACTCAGCCACTACTGATGAGAATCAACTTCCCACACAAAACTTGTCAGCAACAGTCAGTGAAACCCTCAGTTAATGACACCAAACAAACATCCCTGATTATATATGGAACACAGGACACCAACCTTTCTCTTCCTGCAGAGACAAGGAGCACTCACAGCAGCGTGGAGCACAGAGGGATGGGGCAGGGACACCATCTCTGCCTGCTTTACACTCCAGGCACTGGTTGTTTTCTGAGTGAACCCTTCCATTCCCCCACATCCGGTTCTTGTTAACAAAACTATTTCTGATCACATGCATTTGTCATGCAGATCACCTCTTCAGCCACATATGCTTAATTTCATTTTACCCTTCAAGTGTTAAATAAATTCCTCCTGACCTTTCATCACCAGGATGCCTAAATATGCATGATTTCTGCTTGAGCTGAATAATAAATAGCCCAGAGAAAAAAGTAATTTTATTTGCCCATCTTCATCTTCCTTTCATTGCCATCCCCTGAACACATTCTTCTATAAAGCCCTCAAAGTTAACTATTCCATCTCTTCCATTCACCTGGGAACTTGATCTAGCTAGGAGATCACAAAAAGAAACATGAGATTCTTTGCTGTATTATTAGGAAACTGAATGCATTTCAAACCTGTGTGAAGGGGATTTGACAGAAAGAAAGAGTGGAAACAAACTATATTTTAGGTTGAAATACCTTTTGTGTTGCTAAATAAACTCACTTCTAATTGTCTTGCCTATTTCAATAGACATTATGAATAAAGCAGTTTCTAGGCCATATTTCAGCCTTTAAATGCTTACCCTCTTCAGCATTTTGCTGAAGCTGGAAAGCAAAATAAGTTCTAATATTTCTGCCAGCTTTCATTTGGATAGAAAATAACATTGTCCCAGTATAATAGCAAGGCCCTTTGCACAGCCTTGTAATTGCTTCTGAGACCAACCACACTCATCCCCACCCCAAAAACCACCTTCCACAAACTCAAGAGTGACCCCTCCTGCTAATTAATCCGGGGTGCTGTCCCACAGGCAGGTTTTGGCCATACCTTAACCGTACCTGGATAAAAACCTGACTTAATTTAAACGAGAAGCACTTCTGAGAACAGCCATGAGCAGCTGGCACAAAGGCCAGCACCTGGAGAGCAACATGAATATTCCAGCTGCTCTGAGGCATGGCCAGCCCTGGGAGTACAACCAGATCATCAGGGCTGACAGGGATCCTGTTTGATTGCAACATCTCACTAAAAGATCCACCTACAGCAGAGCAGCACAGAACACCCCCCATTAATGAAAGGGGTGAGTTTTGTACTGGTGAAGGTTAAACCTCCTTGCAGAGAAGGTGCCCAACACCAGACTAAAGCACAGCACGGGGTTACAGTGAACAGCAGCAAAGGCAACACCGAGCTCCAAAGCTGGGCTGGGAGGGGAGAGAGGCTCCCTGGGCAGCAGCACAGAGCTACGGGTCAGCAAGAGGCCACCTGTGCCTGCTGGAGAGGTCACCGGGAGTACAGCCACGCTCCCACCGTGGTGACCCACTTGATTTATTTAACACCTATTATGGAAGCCTTGCAAAGCCCAGCACGTGGTTCAAGGGGAGAGGCTTCCCGGTGTGAGTACAACCAATGTCACCGACTGCCAAGGCATCCACACACACACACACACACACACACACACGCTCTCAGTGTCTCAGCTTCTCGTTCTCTCTGCTGACAGCTTCAACCGTGAAGTGAAACTGCTCCTTTTGCAGCAGCCGGAAGGTTCTGAGTCAGAGGCCACAGCAGCAGTGGAGCTCCAGGAGCGGGTGATCCTGCAAGAAACCTCCTGCTCCTGCCCCCAAGGGCTGCTCTTAAAACTGCAGCAAAGAACCGTTCTGACCAGAGCCCAAACCCTCCACCTCTGCCATCCTGGTGTCAAACCAAGCCTCCTCCTCCCCCTACGCCTGTCGTATCCTGCAAAGGATGTGGTAAAGCAGAACCCGTAGTCCCTCCATGGCAACAGGGCCAGTAACTGTGCTAACACAGCAGCCAGGAAGGAAGGTGAGAGAGGGGATGTTCCATTCGAGAGAGGATGTGGTTGTTGGTACTGCAGCAGCTCACAAAGATGCTGAAAGAGGGAAGATAAGAGGGGAGTGATTAATTCTGGGGAGTGGGGAGGCAGGAGGATGTGACCAGCTCACTGCAGCACGGCAGAGCTGATGGGCAACAGGCGATCAAGAGAAACAGCAACTGAGCCAAACACTCGATAGTGAGGGACAAACACAACTATCCTTGGTTTTCTTGGAACAAGGGAAATTTTGACGGTAAATCATGTAGGTTACATGTCCTGCACAGCATGGACAGAAGTCCATCCAGCATGGAGCATTAAGTGCTATTTTGGTTTTATTCAAACAGGCACCTGAGAAGGCCATGCTGAGGTTTCACCTGCTGTCAGCAGTGGGAGATTCTTCTAAAGATAGCGTTGCATCTCTTGAAAGAGGAAATGTGCTTCTTAGAGGTGTCACAGTTTCATGCTCTTGAAAATGAATTTTATAGCTCTTTTCGAATAAGGAAAAGGCAAGGCTCAAAAATCACCATTTGCAATGTCCAAGGACACTTCCCATAGATGGCCATGATGCAGCAGCAATTCATTTCCTTCAAATAAATTTATACACTTTGAGGTTTGAGGCACTTTGCCACAATGAGAACCATCTGTCATGAGCAGCCCATTCAGAAAGGAACACTTCTTTTCAAACCTACAATTCTGCTTATAAAACACACTCTAGAAACCCCAGAACAAGACACAGTTTTGTTTCAAAATACATTATAATGTGCAAATTACAACCCAGGATATAAGAAAGCTCTTAAAGAACAAGATAATAAGAGAGAAATTTCAACTAATGCCAGATGTTAAGTCAGACTATTTTTATTGAAGAACTGGGTGCATTTCAACCGTTTAATGCACTTGCTCAGTTATTTAAATTGGAGACAAACATGCACATGCTGCCTCTTTTGGTGATTCTAACAATTGAACTGATTTAAGTGAATTTATTTGTACTAGGTATGAAGATAAACAGCAGAATCTAGACTTTAAAATCCAGACTCATTAGCTAAGCAGAGGCTCATAACTACAAAAATCTACTGGGGCCAGAGAGATGATGCATCTCTACCATTAGCATTAATTATACCCACAAAACTCATTAAAAAAAAAAGAAAAAAACAAAGAAACAAAGCAATGCAATGCTAACCTCCTCCTTCTGCTCATCCTGGGGGAACAGGAATGGGATAAAGACTTGGTTTTTGCTGACAGTATCCAGAGCTGCAGCCTGAAAGCTGCAAGGACCCACAGGGATTCACTGTTCCGTGCATTATAAACAAGAGCTTTGAAAATGAGCAGATCCTCCTGGTTCGTGGGGCTCTGCTGCTAGGACAGTATAAATCATGAGCTGCTGCACAGCTCCAGACCCGAGCTGCCTCCCCCAGGAGTTGCAGCATGGTAACAATGCTAAATATACGCTGCTCTTGTTCCAGGAAGGCTTTTCAGTTGACAAATGTTGCAACTTTTCACTGTTCCCCAGCATCATCCCACTTCCCTGATTTAATACACACCCATTTCTTCTGAAATTATTTGAACAAATGCAATTTTAGAACTAATTCCCAGTCAATCTTTGGCCGTCTGGCCACATCTTGGATTAACTGTTGACTGATTTTCATCCTCTTTTTTTTCCCCCCAGTCTGTGAAGCTCTCCCTTAATAATACCAGCTGTTAAAACAAAGATCAACAAGAGCTCTTGCCCACCATTTCCCCTTTGGGCAGCTGTGTACTGATTATTAAAAATGAGCCATAGAGTGTTCCTGCTTACTGCATGGCATGGATAACTACAATAGAAAGCCAAACAAGCCTGCTGATCCATTTAAAAGAACACACACAAAAAAGGCAATTCTGCCCTCTTACCCAAAACCATACTGAATCACAATAGCAGAATCTTACCCACAAGAACAATACTTCCAACTGTAGCAGTCTGTGGGAATGGTTTTTTGGGGAAATCAGCTTTTTGCCCAACTTCATCACAAACCAATGCCATACTGGTTTCATCATGTAGAATACCCAAGTTGTTTTATGCATCCTCAAAGTAAAAATTTCTTCATTAGTATCAAAGCTTTTTGAATATGATTCAGCTCTAAGCACACAGTTGGAGTTTAGAAAAAGCATTTGGGGGGATTAATTTGATATTTTTTTTTTTAAATATCACCATTTAAAAACCATCAGTGACATTGTTACACTTTGCAAATAAGAGTCTTTGGTCTCCCTCTATCAAAATTAGCCCAAAAAGATAAGTTAAAACCAGCAAAGGTCTCACCAGGTATGCCTGGTATTCTCAACAGCAAAACTTCTAATCCCCACTAAATAAATCCCCTGGTGGGTGTAGAACTGAGCACGTGTGCAAAGCTCTTTTCTACACACGTTAATGCAAAGATGTATTTATTCACTAAACACAACAGCCCCTGCTCCTGATATTCCTTTTCACCTCCTCCCCTGCGAAGCCAGAACTGACCAAGCCCCAGTGCAGGCACCGTGTCCTTCCAGGATGTTTATACAGACACTCAGAAAAGAAAAATGGTGTAAAAATGACTAATTCTGCTTAGCTTGAGGCTGACTCCTGGAATCAGTGGAGCAATGGCAATAACTAGGGTTAAAAAAATAAGCCCCCCACTTCAGAGTGTTCCAAACCCTTCCCTAAAGTTCAAAAGAAAAGATCTGAACTGACTGTTCCCTCCTCTCATTTCCAAATTAAATGGAACAAACCGCTGAAAAACTTCTTTGTAGATGGAGTTCAAAAAGCATTTAATACCTTAAATACCATGACATGACAAATACAATCCTAGATTTTTCAAGAGCCACTTGACACTCAAGACCAAATAAGATTACTCCTGTGCCTGAAATATTTCTATCTGCCATTGCATTCCATTTTTAATCCAGAAATTAGATTAGGTGCTTCCACTCTGATCCAAGAAATAGTGAAGTTTCCAGAACAGGAAGATTATCAGAGATATATGCAACTCAGAAGTCTAATGCAATGGATAGAACAATGTCAAAGGGCATAACATTTAAAATATCTGCAAACAACAAAGTTGGTCATGTCAAAATATATTAACAAACTCTGTTCAAAGTGTATTTCATAATTCAAAATTATCTATTCATACAGTCCACTCTGTGGAGTGGAGTCAAGCTACACTGGCAAAAAAAATTTATCAATTCTGGACCTAGGCCAGAAATAAAAGCAAAGAGCCAGAAGAAAGCTGTAGGGACTCTATGCCTTAAATCCATCTATTAGGGTTTCCACACAGCTTTTTTATTACAGTAAGACCTGGCCCCTCCTGCAACTGTAAAAATGGCAACCAGGACAGTCCTCTAACATCCTGTCACATA